TATTGGTGATCACTGCCCGTAAATTCCTCAAGCACCTTCCATTCCCTGAGTTTGCTCGATAAATTTTCAGACACCAGTGTGATGTCTGGGGTGGTATCGTCGCAGCCAGGCCTCCGGAAGGTGGTGGCGGTGCCGGAGTTTGCGACAATAAGACCCAGTCTAGCGGCCATGTCCAGTACGCGCCTGCCTCTCGAGTTTGTGGTGGGCATACCCCATTCTACTGCTTTAGAATTGAAGTCCCCTGCTATGATTAAAGGTCCACCAATTTCTAGGGCTTTATCTTCGATATCTCCTAGCTTTTTTTCGAATTCCCCGATTGCGTCACTCGGCGTGAGGTAGCAACTTATCAAGGTGCAAACCTTAGTTTGCACAAAGGAGAAGCCATTACCAGCCCCGCTATTTGTGGCAACGAATTTGCTTTTTTTAGGCAGCCATATTGTTGCGGTGCCCGTTGTGTCTTCAAACCAATTGGTGCGGGATGTGTGCCTATACTGCTCGCTGATTATCACGTCCAGCTTCTACGCATGCGCAGCATTTGACGTCGTTTACGCACTCTTTTATTTTATGGCCTGGCTCGCCGCACTTAATGCATAGATTCCTCCTGTCTGGCCCTTTGCAGTTCGTCTGGAGATGACGAAGGCCCGGATTTGCTCTCTGCTGTTTGCAGGCGTAAGCCTTTCCCGCACTTCTTCCGTTGTGCTGCCGACAGATATTTTTACCGCTTCTTCAACTTCCTTATTATCTGTGAGGGAGTCAAGGTCGCGTATCTCCAGCGTCACCACTGGTTTGAGCTCGCTTATTGATGCAGTCTCTTGCACCGTGCTTTTGATCTGCTGTACAAGGTCTGGCTGAATCTTTTCCCCCGCGTCGAGTTCTAGGAGAAGTGCGCCATTTCGCGTTTTCCGGATGCACTTAACGTTTGTTCCTTCCATTAACCCCGTATGACTTCGCAAGTTTTTCAGGACTTCTGCGTAGCTACATCCATCAACTGGTTTGATGAGTACCGCTTCTGGCCTTTTCCGCTTTAAACGCTGTCGCTTATCTTGCTGTCTTTTTTCAGTGCCATCTTGAGTTTCTTCCACCTTTTTCCCTGGGCCCATTTTCCTTCTTCTTTTTGCCCGTACCTGTCGTTTGCTCAGCAGGGCTTGCAGCTGTCCTCTTCATCCTCGTCACTGGGGTTTCAACGTTGGTTCCGGCAGCTGCCTCAGACGCAGACTTTTGGAGCTGCGCGTTCCTCTCTTCCTCAGCAGATTTCCAGCCTTTGCGGTATCGCTCTATAACATCAAGTTGTTCTGCAAGTTCGGAGATACCATCCTTCACGTCCATGTTAATGTTCTTCTGACGTAGAGTGGCGTGCTTCATTTTGCGCAGGATGGCCTTGCATTGAGCAACAGACTCCTCCTCCAGCTTCCTCAGTTTATAAATAAGTTCCATCCTTGGAGAGCTATTCGCCGATTGCTGATTTATGGAGTTCATTGGCGTTTCCGGCGTGGCATTAGACGTCTTCTCGGGTTCTTCCTCTTTGTTTCCATTCTGGGCCTTGTCAAGGCTCCTTGAGTCAGGCGTGGCGCCGGTTGGGTTGCTCCGTGCTATTTTTTGTAATAATAATAATAATACACTTACATATATGTTAGAGCATAATTATTATTGGTTAGCGTAGCATACTGGGATTTTTCTAGCCTTGCCCCATTTGGAAATATCACTCTCTCCATGTTTTTCTTGTCAACGGGAATCGGAATATGGAGGGAGAACAAATCTGTTTTCAGTCAGTTTTTCATTCTGAGAAACATCGGTGGGTCACAGAATTGCTCTGAAAACTATTTGAATCTTTATTTACAAATTTATTATTTTCTCTAATGAAGTGGGATATTACCTTAGCCTTTAAAAAAAAACTAAGCTCGGAATGTCCGGTCCTAAATTATTATTTTTTGTTAAAAGAAAATAAATTGGTTTTTTTTCGATAAACGTACAAACCGGTGAGCAAAAATAGAAGCGATCTTGCACGGTGAGATGTCATCGCGCGATAGCAGTGGTGGCGAAGAGGGGCCGGCGTGCCCCGCCCCGGGTTTGGGAGACAGAAGCGAACAATTTGTCATTACTGCCGAGGCAATTAAGAAGTTATTCCAATCGAACCAGCGTGGAAACGGTTCAACGGATACAGCTGGTTTCCCTTCTTTTGATCCGGACCATTCTAGAGTTCACGTAAAGAAGTGGTGCAACGATGTTGATGCTAGGATCGAGCGAGACATCAAGCTACATTGCTTGGGAGAGCCAAGGAATGGTTTGAGAAATATGGCCACCAACACTCTAGCTGGGCAGACTTGCGTACCCAGATGACTTTATAGTCAAAATAGTAATTGGCTGCATAACCGACGGGAGTCTGAGAAATTCATTAACATTTGTTTTCCCAATTTGAGTTAAGGCTTGATTGACCATATGTCATCTATCAGAGAGAAGCCCAACAACAAGTTGAACCTCTCTCCACGTCGGCGTTACGAGAGGGAGCCCCTAAATTCAAGACCGCTTTCGATGCGCAGAGCTATGGATAGATTAGCTGTACCGAATAAACGTCCACGATGATGACATTCGCTGTTTTAGGTGTGGAGAGAAAGGCTATATCAGAGCCTACTGCAAAACGAAGATGGCCCAAACTGTTGACGGTAAGAGTGCTAGCGGTCGTCAGTTGTACCTTTGTGGCAGTTCAGGCCATACTGAATCGACATGTTGGGCTAAAGAAAGAGCTGAACATAAAAACGTAAACATATGTAAGGGTACTTTTCTAACAAGAAACTACACCCCAGTGCTAATCGACAAACAACTGTACCGTTGCTTACTGGACACTGGGTTCGACTGTTCACTCATTAGGTCCGACATAATGGACATGGTTTCCCAGAAAAGAGACCCATACTTTCTGTAGGTAGAGGGAATTAGAAAAGAGCCCGTGTTGCTGACCGAGATGTTCACAGCGACGATTGAATTTGACAAAAGATATTTACAACAAGAAGTTATTATTGGCAGGGACGTGTTAAAAGATTACCAGTTGACAATAGTTTGTGCGCTCCTTAACTATATTATTATAATTTGTAGAAATTTGTTGCTAAGCGGTAAGCCCGAGTTTTGTGTTATCAGTTGTGCACTGAAATTTAGTGTGTTATACTCATTTTAATTAAGCAGCGTCACGGTTGTTTTTGGTGCTTGTGCCCTGTTTTCTACGCTCGTTGTCGTGCTCCCTTTCTTTAACACAAGTGAGTGTGTGTGTTTGCTTGTGCTTAATCTTTTTGTGCATAGCGCCCACGCACTTTGTTGTGTTTCGCTCTCTAACATTTCATGTGCTTTTAGTAGTAGCCTCTCCCGTCTTTTCAGTCTGTTTATCTTGTACTTTACACCGTTTTTAGCCACAGTGGGAATTTAATATGTGGTTTTGAATATGGTTTGCTGCAATAAATCTTGCACTATTAAGGATGCTTTTGATGTTGCTCAACCACATTATATGAGCTGCTGGTTGTGTGACAATATGATGCATATTAAGTGTGCAGGGCTTACCGGTCGTGACCACGACAAGGTTGTTGCTAAGGCCAAAAATGGTTGCGGCGGCTTGCTATGGTCATGCCCGGTATGTATTGATATGCAATTTGGTTTTCCACGTATGTATGTATAACAGCGTGAAAAAGCAATTTGTAAAATTGCACAAGATTTCAAAAAAACTTGCCAGTGATTTCGATTTTGGTATCGACTTGCTAAGCAAGTATAAATTTGAGTCTCCAACAAACCGACGATTGGATTCGCAATTTTTAAATATTCCCCCATCTATCCCTTCTGGCTCAACCTTGCCACATTTGCCCCTCCCGGCAATTCCTCATTACTTCTGCTAGTGTTTCAATTTCTAAATTTAAATCCTAATTCCTCTCTACCTCGCTAAATAGCGTCGTTCAAAATTAGCGTCTCCGTTGAACTGTTTCCTATTATTTGTGACCCTACATTTTGGCCTCCTCATATGATTGTCCATGAGTTCAAACACGAAAAAGAACTCTACCAGCTCCTGTTTCATTGCCTGTTGCCCCCTCTTCTCAACCTACCACTAGTAATGCCTCAAAAAACTAGACCATGTTCGTGTTCCGCTTACTCTACATTACCAAAATGTTAGAGGTCTTTTATCTAAGCTTAAAAACTTATTTAAAGACAGCTTAGTGTTCGAATCTGACATTATTTCATTTTCGGAAACGTCGTTAAATGACTCTGTTTCTGACTATAATATTCTGTCAAATATCTATACCATTTATAGGCGTGATCGCCCAAATCGTCGTGGTGGTGGTGTATTGATCGCAGTCAAATCCACCCTTCGACCAGAACTTGTTTATGTAAATATGAATGCTGAAGTAGAATTTATTGCGGCTCACATGCTGTATTTATCACTTGCTCTTATATTCCTCCAGCTGCTGATTTTCAACTTTATATGCACCATATAAATTGTATCAGCGAAGTCTCTTCTTCTTTACGGGATAATGACGCCCGCCGTGTGTATTCCCTCATCACATCATGACTTTCTTGATTCTCTCTTGGAATTGTCTATGGTTCAAATAAATAAAATCCCTTCTTAATGCTCACCTATACCTTAAAAGACTACTTTTGTCCAAGCTTTCAGCTTCCTAGCTCTTACCGTTTGGGCTCTGCATTGATTGACTTATTTGACTTATTCCTTGACTGCATACAAGCACTCATAGACACGATTCTGATGTACAAGTAAATGCTGATAAAATTGTATATAAACACTTATGTGAATATGCATGCGTTGAATATATTATATTTAATTAAATTAATTATTAATTTTTTTTTGTGGGATGGTACAGGGTAAGTGTTGAGTCAGCTCTTCTTTAGCATTCCTTTCTTGTTTTTCTTGAAATTTTATTGATTTAAAATAAATAAAAAATTTATGGTAAAAATATTTTGAGTTTTTAGTTTTAATGTTATTTTGAAAAAGAGTAAGCTGTAATTTTGTTCATTTAAAGTTTTACTTTCTCGTCCTTAAAAATTCTTAAAAAAATATTATCCTTTGCTTCCAACATAAAAGCCTTGGGACTGAAATGTATGCTCTCTATTGTATGTTCGCAAACCTCTACACGATTTCTTTTCAATATGTGTGCGAGACCCAATTTCAGCTGCAATATGCCCAAACGACTACCAATACAGCCATGGGGACCAGCGCCAAAAGGTAAATATGTCATTGGCACAATGTTCTTTATGTTTTCCGGCGCAAATCGTTCTGGGTTAAAACATAACGGATTGGGCCAATACTAAAAGTGATATTTTAATTATTTTAATTTTGTTTGAAAAAAACCTATCAAAATTACCTTAGTATCACGTTGAAGGCCCAATATAGAAATATAGGCAGGCATTCCTTTGGGCACCACAAAGTCCGCATATGGCTGCAGTGAATACTTTGTATCACTATCGCCCGGAGTAAGCTCGCGATTGATGAAAGCAGCGATTGGATACAAGCGTAATGCTTCCAAGCAGATCATATTAAGAAATGGAAGCGTGATCAAAGTGCTGTAGTCCAAAGAAGATCTTGTGGCAAAGGCGTTATGTAGCTCATTCCGCAAATGAATCTGCAGTTGTGGTTGTTTGGCGACTTCGTAAAGCGCAAATCCTAGCAATGACGATGACGTCTCAAACCCTGCAAGCAATATGATGCTAGCCTGTGAGGTTATAAAGTCTGGATGCTGCACGTAGTGCGTTGGTGGCTTGCTTCTTTGCAGTTGAAGCAGTTGGTCAATGAGGTTGGGCTTGCAGTTAGCATCTTTTGTGTCCCGACAGAGCTTCAAAGCAGTACCAACTAAATCACGCATAAAATGTGTATATTCCTTCGAGAATAACTTGGCACGTATGAGCCTTGTGTATTGAGGGAGAAAAAATATTATCATAAAATGCAGAAGTTTCCGGAAGTTAGGCACTAATAGGCGACGTGTTTGTTCGCGGAGCTCGCATTTCCCTACAAGCAGACCATTGGCTTCGAGGCCATAGAAAAGAGATCCCGTCATATCAGTTGTGAAGAGCGTGCACATTTCGCTTAGCTTGATGACTTTACTATCCTGCTTACCGAGCTGTCTCTCTAAATAATTCTCTAACTCGGCCACCACACCGAGCATACGCGGATACATAACATGCTTAATGCGACCAGTTGTGAATAATTGTGACATACTTTGTCGGCTTTCTCGCCATTTTGAATATTTCGCCAATGGTAATGTTAGTGAACCCAATTCATCGTTGAAGTCATCGGCTGCTTCGTAACGGTTCAGAAAACTTTTAAAATGCTTAATCAGAATGAGGCGTATGATTTTAGGTTCTCGGATGACCAATGCTGGAGTGTGGAAAAGAAAGAAACCAACAACATTGGCCCCTACTATGCTCGGATGGGCGTAAATGTTAGCAAAGAGTTCTCCAAAAGATATTCGTAATAATATTAGCTCCTTCAGGTTACCAAATGGAGTAGAAGCGGGAAGATATGATATGTTGTGGCGCTTGAAGTACCTATATCGATGACACAACCATATGTAACCGGCAAAAATATTCAGCGTCAGCAACGTAATAGGAACGCAAAGAAAAATCATCCTGTAATAGAAGTGTAAATTCTAAATTGTTATCACAACATATTAACTTCCTTCCTGTACTCATACGTTAAAAGGGTACATTAGGTTTGTGTAATGTATATAAAAGGTAGAAGAAAATTTATAAGAACTTGTATATATATTCTTAATCAAATGACGAGACGAATCGATAGAACCAAGTCCGTCTGTCTGGGGACGGTTGAACCCACATTCTCCAAACTTCATATGTACACTCTTATAATCTGCAGCCAGTATGTTTTTTTCCCGCTCCGCGCTACGGAATACAATCCTGTCCACATTTCAAAATACACCTAATTCTATTTTTACATGGTCTTTTTTTACACGATGTTGATATATCACGGTTTGAAAATTAACAAGAGAGAATGCTACAGTCAAGCGCGCCCGATAGTGTAATACTCTGTACCCAGGGATTGAAATTGTTTCGCTAATAACTTTGCTTAGAATTAAACGATTTAGATGAAATTTGAAACCAAAGTAGATTATTGTATTTATTTTGTGTGCAAAGTTTAGTTAAGAAACCTTTTGAAATGTGAACGGTATTGACAAAATTCTTTAGCGTGGGAAGGGGGGGAAATTCCAAAAAATAAAAAGGAATAGTCGAGCGAGCTCAACTCTTAAATACTCTACTACAAAAAAATAAATGATTAATTAAAAAACAAGTAAAAAAGCTAAAGTCGGGTGTCCCGACTTTGAAATACTCTGGACATATGTTTACAATAATTATAGAAAATAAAAAAAAAAAAGAAAAAACAAGTAAAAAAGCTAAAGTCGGGTGTCCCGACTTTGAAATACTCCTTACATATGTTTACAATAATCATAGAAAATAAAAAAAAAAAAAAAAAAAGAATAAAAAAAATTGGATCGATTTTACCTCTCTCGGTATTCGAACTCACGTAAAGGGTGTATAATTGCACATTTACATAGCAATTGCGTCTGTGTGAGTGTATGTATGCCTATGCGCATCTATTCGTGTCTGTGTAAGCATTTTCGCAGTCAACCAAACAGCAACATCAACAACAACCGCGGGCAGCGCTTGAGCAGCGCTGCAACAGCAAATATATTTATGGCTATAACTTCTTGTTAAATCGGTTTATCATAATGAAACTTGGCATACGGACACATAATTACTAACTGGGGGTATTTGCAAAAAATTAGTTCGAAATTCCAAGAATTACGGGAATTAGAGAAAATCGCATTTGTGGGGGAGAGGGGGGAGGGAGGGAAATTCCAAAATATACATTTTCTGCGTATTCACACAAGGCACTTATACAGACGGACAGACAGGCGGACATGGCTATATCGACTCGGCTTGTCACCCTGATCAATATAGTATATATACTTTTTGGGGTCTCCCACGCCTCCTTCTGTGTGTTACATACATTCGCACAAAACTAGTATACCCTTTTACCCTTTAAATCAATGAAAATTGCAAATAAATATGTGTTCACAAAAGTGAACAAGAGCTCAGAAGTTAGCATAGGGAGCACAAGCAAAAAGTAGGCTAAGCAACAAATCTCGGTCTAAAAATAGCCGCATGCAGCAGTGGTACAGACCAACGCATAGTAGATAACAGAAAATGCATAGGCAAATAGGACCGCGGCAGCGTTTAAGGGTGGGTGCACACTGCGTTTAAGAAAGGCTTGAAATATACATATGGAGGGGAAATCCACTTGACACCGTTAGGATAGAATAAGACAAAAAATGTAAAATTAGAGTAAGTACAATGTTTAGAAAATAAGAAAGAGTAAAATATTGAATTATTAGTACATAAGAAAAAACCTAGTAAATAAGACAAAAATTGTATAAATACTGAAGGAATTTCAGAAATAAAATCAGAATGAAATTGGAAATTTAAGCATTGGTTTGTTTCCTTTTTTGTTCTCTCAGAGACGCTCTACACGGGATAAAGTGTAGCCTCTGATAGTGAATAGTTCCTAGCTGTATAGCAAGGAACTATTTACATTTTGGTCCTTCGAGCAAGGAAACGGCGAGGTCGGCAATAGCGGGCCCATCCGAACTAGATACCGAAAGGTGTCAGAATCAAAAAATTAAAATTTAAGGCGAAAACAAAAGCCGAACCATTAAGGCCATAGCCTTTAAAGTAGGAAGGGAAAGAATACAGAGTCTAGTAAAGACGAAACTAAAATCGGTTGCCAAACTTCTGATAAGTTTGGGCCGATAAACCAGAAGGAAGACCCCTGCAAACCGCTACCAGGTTTGGACCAAGAGGGTCAAAGAAAAGCGGTCCCAAAGATCCCTTACAAGGTTTGGGCCGCCGAAGGACGAAGAAGAGAGAAGCGAGAGAAGACAGCAGGTCCCAAATCCCTACAACGTTTGGGCCGAAGAAGGACGACATCAGATCAGATACCGAAGGTTTGGGCCGCAAGAGAGACGAAGAAGCAGCGGAAGCTAAGCCATAGAAGGTTTGGACAAAAGAAGACGACAAGAGCTAAACCTCTACCAGGTTTGGCCAATGAGTCAGAAACCCCAGGAAGCCACAGACGAACGTCAAATTGCTTCTATGGAAGAATTTGACCGAGTATTCAATAGAATTATTAAGGTCGCGAGGCCATATATAGAAGCTGCAGCAGAACCCAATGCAGGACCGCAAAAGCTTACGATAGAAGAATATAGGAATCAGTTGCGAGAGCTATACAAATTAGCTCAAATTTCAATAGGACAAGAACAAAAGAAGTACCTGTTAGAAGCAAAAAAAATTAAAAGATAAGAGGAGTAAAAAGAAAAAGGAGCAAAAAAGAACTAATATTAAAAAAAATTAAGAACATTTCAAAATTAATATTAAGAAAAATAGAAATAAGAAGAAATAAATAAATAATAACATAAAATATTTTTTGTTGTCGAAAATAATAATACCAAAGGTGACAAGATGGTGTTGACAAGGGATCAATTAAAAGATCTCTTAGTAGAGCAGCAGACGATTTATAGGGAGATTGAAAATATAACAAATTTAGGAGAGAAAACGTTGTGTGAAAATTCACAGCACTTAGCAGAGCTAGAGAAGCTCTGGGAAAAATTCGAAAAAAGGCATGAGATCCTAGAGGACAACAAGAAAAGTCTTGGCGAGGTAGACTATTTCCAAAAGAACGTGTGGGCGAACGTGATGAAGGTTAGAGGGGATATAATGACTTGCCTAGCTAGGTACAAACCTAAAAAACACGTACCATCAGCTCCAATGGAGACAAGCATGTCAGCCACATCCCCATTTCAAGACGAAGCCAGACATAGGTGGGAAAAGAAAAGAAATACGGTAATAGCCAAGGCCGAAAGATTTGGCAGGCAGATTAGTGGAGATTTTCACGTAGGACTAGAGGCGCCGGAAGCGAAGAAATTCTTAGATGGAAAGTTTGAGGAAATAAAGGAGAGTATAAAAACCTTGGAAAAAGACCCCTTTAGCACTGAAAACGAAATAGGGCAAATGTTGGAGGAGGTAGAAGGACTGTTTTTGCGTAAAATGAAAGAAATTAATGAAGACAAAAGCACGAATAGCACATTGAAATTAAAATAAATTAAAATTCATCCCTTTTTCGGAAATATAGCACAGTGGACAGCCTTTTCAGATATGTTTGGAAACTTGGTGCACAAGAACAAAAACTTGCACGAAGTTGAGAAATTTATAAGGTTAAAAGAGCTAGTTAGGGGGGAGGCGAGTTCCCTAATACAGCATCTACCAATCTCAAGGGAAAATTATAAAACGGCATTACATATTTTGAAAGATAGATACGAAAATAGGAGACAAATATTCTCCTACCACATGGACAAACTATTAGATCAGCCCACAATGAATAGTGAGTCGGAAAAAAGTGTCCAGGGCCTGCTAGATACTACTAGGCAATGTATTCATGCCATAAACGGCATGAATACAGGAATAAAAGAAGCAGATATAGTATGGGCTAGGATAGTTTTAAGAAAATTCGATAGGGCCGGACTACAACAATATGAACAGTACACTAGGAGAACAAAAGAAATCCAAACCTTAGAAGAGGTTTTGGAGTTTCTCGAACTACACCTCCAGGCAATACAAACAATGCAAATTAAGACCCCACAGACAGATAGAGTAGATGCAATTACCGTAAACTTAGGAAAGTTTTGGGAAATCTCAGACCAAGCTGCTGAGAAAAACTTAGATTTTTCTAAAATTAGTTTTATGGGAGACGTCTCAGAGAAAGCCTGTGAGAAAAAATTAGATTTTCCCAAATTTAGGGATTTTTGGGAAGTCTCAGTGAAAGCTACTGAAGAGATAGATGTTCCTAAATTTGATGTTATAAATGAAGTCTCAGAAAAGGCGTTTGAGGAAACGATAGAGTTTCCTAAATTTAGGTGTTTTTGGGAAGTCTCAGAAGAAAAGACTGAGAAAGAAGGCAACTTCAATCATTGTGAGGAAATAGGCATAAAATTACCCTCATTCGAATTGGAAAGGTCCTCTGAGCCCATAGCTGCTGATTTTGTTCAATCAACGGAAGAAAGATTGGTCCCAAAATCAGAAGATTTAAAGTTCGAAGAAAAATATGATTTTGTCGGTGCTGAGACATTTACTTCTTCTTCTATTACTATACAAACACAATTAGGAATTTCTGAGGAAACAGACACAAAAGAATGTCACGATAAATTATCCTCAGTCCAATGTATAAATACCCCTGAGCTCGTAGGTGCAGACTTCGTCCAATTAACGAATGAAAAAGTAATTTCAAAATCACAATACAAACAGGCAAATTTAAAGATCGAGAAAATATCCAATTCCACTGTACAAGCAGCACAAAGTGTGTCTGTAAAAAAGACAACTGCAGTTAAGCCAAATACTGTTGGTTTAAAATTAGAAAGACCACAATTTCACCTTATCCCTCTGGCAAGTCCTCACTTTGGAGGAATCCAAGGAACGGGGGTAGATTCACTAAAAAATTACCAGAACAAAATAGTAAAAGAACGCACTCTAACGTACGAGAAAATAAGTACGTCACTAGTGCAAATCAAGGCAATACTGAACACTGTACAGGTTAGACAGTAGCATTGAATTAGAGAACAGTTTAAAGCCAGCACAATTTCGAATTCACGAACCGCTTTACGAAGGCATAGATCGGAAATATAACAAAGGGATTTCAGTATTGGACCGATGGAAATTGGTACCAAGCAAGAAAATCCGTTTTTGGACAAAGTGGAAAGAGAAATACAACTTGATTCTTGGATGCAATTAGGAGTATAAAATATATGACATTATGGCCCGTCGCAAGATGTTCACAAAAGTGAACAAGAGCTCAGAAGTTAGCATAGGGAGCACAAGCAAAAAGTAGGCTAAGCAACAAATCTCGGTCTAAAAATAGCCGCATGCAGCAGTGGTACAGACCAACGCATAGTAGATAACAGAAAATGCATAGGCAAATAGGACCGCGGCAGCGTTTAAGGGTGGGTGCACACTGCGTTTAAGAAAGGCTTGAAATATACATATGGAGGGGAAATCCACTTGACACCGTTAGGATAGAATAAGACAAAAAATGTAAAAAAAAAAGAGTAAGTACAATGTTTAGAAAATAAGAAAGAGTAAAATATTGAATTATTAGTACATAAGAAAAAACCTAGTAAATAAGACAAAAATTGTATAAATACTGAAGGAATTTCAGAAATAAAATCAGAATGAAATTGGAAATTTAAGCATTGGTTTGTTTCCTTTTTTGTTCTCTCAGAGACGCTCTACACGGGATAAAGTGTAGCCTCTGATAGTGAATAGTTCCTAGCTGTATAGCAAGGAACTATTTACAATATGTAATGACTAGCGTAATAACTTAAAAGTAATGTGATACTTGTAATTCTTGTAAATTCTTGGACTGTCCGAAATATTTTATAATTTCTGTGAAAACATGTTTAAGAAGATCTAAGATACAGGCTTTTGGAAAGAGCTATAAACAATTATTCTTTAAAAACTAATCAAAACTCTATTATAACTTACAGATAAAAAAAAATAACATGCCGTTTTACTTTTCAGTGAACTCTATACTGATCTCCGATTCCCCTATTCAAAGTTTAACGAAGATTAACATAAAAAACAATTGTTCTTTGTTGTGTGCTTGTTAATCTTGATGTAACCTTGCTATTTGGTTGCTGAAAACAAGCATAAAGACTACATCGCTTGCTTAGCTTTCGACAGTTCGTAACTATCTGCGCTCGCACATGTTTGTTGAACATATAATTTTTTTACTGCTTGCAGGCGTCTTGGGCGCCTACTATGCTTTAAATTATCACTACAATTATTGGAAACGACGAAAAGTATCGCAAATTCCCCCGCGTTTTTTACTTGGCAACATGGCGGGAATTCTTAGCATGCGACGTAGTCCTGCGGATTTTATCAACGACCTCTACAATAATTCAAGCGTTGCTGATAAGCCCTTTGTGGGCATATACGTGTTCCACAAACCAGCTCTGCTGCTGCGTGAGCCCGCCCTAATTAAGCGTATCATGGTCAAGGACTTTAGCGATTTCAGTAATCGTTACTCTAACTCAGATTACATAAAAGATCCATTGGGTTCACAAAACATTTTTTTTTTGAAAAATCCTGCTTGGAAAGAAGTACGTTTAAAACTATCACCTTTTTTCACAAGCAACAAACTAAGAAACATGTTTGCACTTATCGAAGAGATTGGATGCAATCTGGACACCTACTTGCGCAACATACCACTAGAGAATGAAATGGAACGGTCCTTCCAGCTAGAAGTTAAAGAGCTATGTGCACTTTTTACGACTGATGTCATTGCTTCTGTAGCATACGGAGTGCAGGCTAACAGCTTTAAGCAAGTAAACAGCGAATTTCGGCGGCATGGTCGAGCTGTTTTTGAATTTACCTTCAAACGTGCCGTAGAGTTTATAATGGTGTTTTTTCTTCCAAATCTGGTCCCTTTTTTCGGATTTAAGGTCGTGCCCGTTGAAGCTGCTAAGTTTTTACGTAGCAGTATTAACCATATATTGATGGAAAGAGAACGCACCGGCGCGTGTCGAAACGACCTGATTGATATTCTCATTGAGTTCAAGCGCAGCAACCAAAAGTCTGTCGGGAGTGACCACCAAAAGCTTATTTTCGAGGGAGATATTCTTGTTGCCCAGGCAGTGCTCTTTTTTACAGCTGGATTTGAGTCTTCCTCATCGACTATGGCATTTGCACTATTTGAACTGGCAAAGCACACTGATGTACAGCAACGTTTACGTGCCGAAATAAAAGAGGCGTTGAATACTACCGGAGGGGTCTTAACCCATTCGGTAATTGACTCACTGCAATATATGCAAATGGTTCTGTACGAAGTGCTACGCTTGTATCCACCCCTACCATTCTTAGACCGCGAATGCACTACTGTTAACGGTGCCGATCAAGAAGGGTATTCCTTAGTGCCGTTTCATGAAACTTTTCATATACCAAGTGGCATGCCAATTTATATTCCGGTGTACGCGCTTCACATGGACGCACAGGTGATTTATTGGCTAATGATGAAAAAGTAATAACTAAAACATTTTTTGATAATGCCTGTTGCAGTATTATTCTCGGCCCAAGCTGTTTTTACCCGACCGATTTTCGACAGCTAATCGTAAACTGCATAGGCCGTATACCTATCTACCATTTGGAGCCGGCCCACACGGCTGCATTGGAGAGCGATTTGCACTTCTTCAGGCTAAGATTGGCTTAGTTCATTTGCTGAGAAACCATATGGTGCTTACAACAAAGGGCACACCCAATTGCTTGAAACTCGATCCGAAGGCCTTAATACTGCAAGCCCATGGCGGTATTCATTTGAAACTGGTGCGCGATCCGTTGGGTATTTGATCTTAATTTCCAATATTTACTTTTACGAATTAGTGAATTAAATGCTTACGAGTATGCATATGTGTGTGTTTTGTGTTGGGCCTTTTTCTGATTCTTATTCTAAAGTATAAAAATGAGCCTTATATGTAGATATACTCTTAGAGCACCCTTACGACCACAATAAATAAAGTTCACAAACTATAAAAGTGCTTAGTTGTTGCCGAAATCCGGCGGCTTGCGAATATAATCTGTAATATGATTTGTATTAAAGGTTTTTTATAGAATATGTTTTCTATGCCTCTTTTCATAGAATTAAACATATGGGCATTTCCATTATGTCGCATGGGACAGTCGTATACATTTAAAGTGAAAAACAAAACAAATAAAACAAACATGCACAGCATACACATATAAGGCATCTTTGTGCAAAATTTGATGTATGTAGCTCTTATAGTCTCTGAGCTCCAGGTGTTCATACGGACAGGCTGACATAGATCGACTTCTTTTGTCATGCTGATGAAGAATATATATACTTTGTGGGGTCTGCAACGCCACCTTCTGCTTGTTACATTTTTCACTTCCCGCAAACCTAATATACTCTTGTACCTTTTAGGTAGTATAAACAGTAAAAAAGAGAATTTAAGAAATAAAATTAAAAATAAAAAGGAAACGCATATAAAATTACAATAATATCGAATATCGTGTAAAGGGTCGAGTTGGACTTATTGTACTAGTTTGAGATCAGAACTTGGGGAGATTTCAATTAGGACTCGGCTGATTGGGGAGATCTTTACGTTGTTTCAAAACTGTACAATTATTATAAGTATTTTCTGTATAGATTTTTATAAATTACTAACAATCGTTTTTTCTTTTGCTCTCGAATGCATGCAGTGATGGTTTACTTCGTGTTGATTTAAATTGATTTTATTTTGTCTCAAGAAAAAAGGAAAGTAATCGGCCAAATAATAAATGTACTTTGAATTTCAAACTAAAACTACATAAAGTTGCTTTTTTTCAAGCCAATTTGACTCGTTTTCATTGGCTGCATGTGCTGAGTTAGCTGATCAATACGTCAGCTTATCAATGTGTACCGAAAGCACAATTAATTTGCAAATTCTCCAAGTGTTATATATGTATGTGCATATATAATTTTATTTAATGAAGGCAAATATTGTTCTTTGCCTTGGCACGGGAGTAGGTTGACGTCAAAGAGATGAACCCTCACAAGACCAATTAAGTTACTACCATCACTTTATACAAGTGTCTAATAGTTTATTTTCTTGTTTTTCAACTTATTTTCCAATTTAATATTTTTTTATGGTGATATGTTTTTATTTCAATATGTATTTTTCTATTAAATGAATTTTTTCCGGGTTTTAATGGTTTTTTTTCATACCCTGTACCTGTAGGGTAAAAAGGGTAGAAGAAAGCATCTCCAACCCCATAAAGTATATGCATATACATATGTATTCTTGATCGGCATGACGAGAGAAATCGATTTAGACATGTCCGTCCGTCTGGATTTCAGAAACGGTTTAGCGGACATTAACCAAACTTGGTATGTAGACGCTCCTAGTCCCTAGACTACACGAGTTTATTTTATTTTTTTGATTTTCCTTCCCCACCCCCCGCTACAGAATTTCGCCAATGCTATGCACTTAAACCTACAGAAACCAAACTTTGCAAAAGTAATCTATTCACAAATATCTACTTGTTTCGAATTTCATCCAAATCGGTCAATTCTTAGAAAAGTGATTAGCGAAACAATTTCACTCCAATATTAAGCCCACAAACTGCAGCATTAAGTTCGCTCTTCTTCTTATTCTTTTTCCTTCTGCTAAGGGCGCATAACTCAGTGACGGAAGTTAGTCTGGGTACAGGGTATTTTACTGTCGAGCTTGCACGACTGTAGCGTTCTCTTTTGTTAAAAAGTATAAATATGTTTGTGCAATCATCAGTCACAAATAAAAATAAGTCATTAAAAGTTGCACTATCGAACAAAAGCCGTACCAATTAATTGAGCTCGTATAAGATCGTGTTCGCGTCTTAAGATTTTTAAGGTCAAAGGTCACGAAATCGGTTGTTCTCGAACATCTCGCTCCCTATGCCTTTGATGAGATTTTTACACCCTGTACCCAAAGGGTAAAAGGGTATACTAGTTTAGTGCGAATGTATGTAACACACAGAAGGAGGCGTGGCAGTCCCCACAAAGTATTAATATTATTGATCAGTATGACAAGACGAGTCGATATAGCCATCTATGTCTGTCTGTGCGTCTGTCTGTATGAGCGCAAGGATCTCAGGAGATACAAGAGCTAGAATAACCAAACTTGGTATCGAGGTTCCCCTAAATTCTAGCCTAATCCAAGGTCAAGCATGAGCTACGGTATATGACTATTTACTCTGAGCAAAAGTAATTCTATAAACATACTTGTATTCTTCTGGACTGAAAAAAATTGACTTAGATCGTAAATTGTATATCTTTTTGATTGTCTCATATGCTTGCTTTATAACTGTAATCTATCAACTGCAATTTGTCTGTCCGAAGAGTTTGTTCGCTTTCGCTTACAACATTTAAATTTGCTATCAACTCATATTCTTTTGCGTGTGTTATCATAGAACTGTCATAAACACTGATCTTTCGCTTAATATGCTTGGGATTTAAATGCGATGGATTTGAACTGAGCTCTGTTATAGGTTACTTTTCGTTCAGGTATACCAAAAACATGAAAAATTCGGGTTTCTAGATAATCAATGACAGCATCAGCCGTAATTTTATGAAGAGAATTTAGAAAATGAAACTCACTACAAGTGCATATGTATTTGTACATTAACTTTCTTTGATCTTGGGTATGGGCCAACAAAAAGTCGACCTTTGAAATGGTCGTTCCGACAAAACTAAATTTCCCATTTAATAGTACTATTTGAGAGAGTATATTAGGTTTGCGGGAGCCGAAAAATGTAAAGGAGGCGTGACACACCCCACACGTATATATATTCTTGATCAGCATGACAAGACGAGTCGATCTATGTTGTCTGTCCGTCCGTCCGTATGAGCACCTGGATCTCAGAGACTATAAGAGCTAGAAACACCAAATTTTGCACAAAGATGCCTTATGTGTGTATGCTATACGAGTTTGTTTTATTTTTTTGATTCCCCTCCATAGTGGGGGTTTTTTCGTAACGCCATTGGTATAATCGCCTATATTTTGGAGACTGTAAAGGCATTTCACTTAGTTTTAAGATTATTTAAGAGAATTATAATTGAAAGCAACGCATTAGTTAAGAGAAAATTGTCGTACACTGCAGCTGCCTGCGAGCAGCAAATTGCAATTGCCGCTCTTATGTTGTGCTTACGGTGGCGGCCTTTGTATTGTATGTAGCTTCGCTACATTTAAAGTAACACTTGGTATATTGAAGTCTAGCTGTGCGAACGTGTGATCTTTTTTTTTAAAACCAATAAATCGCTTATAGAAAGACATCGTCTTCTCTATATATATAAAACAGTTTGTCCTGACTGACTGATTGGTGATCAACGTACAGCCCAAACGGTAAAAGCTAGGAAGCTGAAATTTGGACTTAAGTATCCTTTCATAGTGTAGGTGCCCACTAAGAAGGGATTTTGGAAAATTCGAGCTCCAAAGGGGGGAAATCGAGCTCCAAAGTTTGTATGAAAAATCTACAATTTTCATCTGTTTAACTTTAAATTTAGTTTGTATACTCTCAGAAAAACTGTATACTTGGTTTTTTGAAATTTTTTTTTGGGGACTGAAATATGGGAGTTTTCCTGTAAAAAAAAATGGGGCACAAAAGAAAACCGCGTCAACAGCCCACAGCCCAAACGGCAAGAGCTATGAAGCTGAAATTTGGGCTCAAGGATAGTGAAGGTGCCCACTAAGAAGGGATTTTGGAAAATTCAAGCTCCAAAGGGGGGAAAACGAGCTCCAAAGTTTGTTTGAAAATTCTGCATTTCTGCACCGATCAACTTTAAATTTGATTTTGATAATCTATAAAAGAATACAAACAAAACTGCATACCCGAAATTTGTGGTGGAGCTTGAATTATTGGGGTTTTAATATTTATTTATTATTATTTTAATATTTATACAAGCAGCTGTTCGTGTAGTTGCGTGCAAACGATTAAAATAGCCAAAGCAAAATGTGAGACACTAATGTGTGAATGTACACACATACATACATATGTACACATCTATGTATGTATGTTCATTCGTCTTGCACTGACAGAGCAAGAAATGTTAATTAATTAAAAATTATTTAACATTTTTAAAAGTAATTTTTTCTTTGTTTAGTACATTTGGCATTACGGTTTTCATTAGTAACTTTATGCAGCAACAACAAATTACAAAGAACGCAAATATCAAATAGTTGGGGACATCATCACTCACACACAGAACAAGCAACAGTTCGTGTCTATGTATGAAAAAGTAAAGAGAAACATGCATGCATATGTACACACATATGTATGTATGTATGCCTGTGTACGTACATATATAGCATGTATGTACATTCGTATGTATGTATACATTAGACAATCGAGCACTGTTGTTTGATTCTAATAAATAATGTTCTATGGTTTTAAATCAAGTTTTTAAAACTAAAAACAACAACAACTGCAGGTCATTGGCTCGCGCTTCTTCTTCCGTTTTGGTTATATACGCCTGTTAATTTTAAAGGCAAAATGTCAAAAGCTTACAGTTACCGTCGCTAGGCAACGACTGCGTAAGCGATAGTAAAGCAGAAACCGAAAGCGGACCTACGCATATTCTTCTTCACGTTGCGGGCAGATGTACATATGTATGTTTGTATATGATTTGTTCTAATTGATCTCAATAAATTATAAGATGTTATTATTTAAATTTTCTGTTAATTGCATTCAAACTTCTATGGAATTATTGATTGTATCGACGGATTCAACTATCGATAGTTTTACATACTTATATATGTATGTGTGTATGTATATAGGCGGATAAAGCCTGCATGAAACATTTAAATGTATGTACATATCAGCGTTGCCGACCGCTCCAATTTTAGCGGGACGTCCCGATTTATAAATCA